GAAGTAGATTCTTCAATACATGCACCCTAAAGGGGGCTTTCAAGCCACGATCTAATCCAACATGAAATCAAGGTGCAAATCATAACTGGACATTTTTAATGAGATAAAATTAAACAAAAACAAGAGATTGTGTCATAGTGAATGGTCAATGGTAAAAGTGACACTCTTGCAAGTAGGTATATGTTTTTTATGTGCTTATGTACGTTTTGTACACAATTTATAAATTTAGTCCTTGGAGGAATTCTGATTTTAAAAAAATCATAAGTGAGTAGCAATTTTGAAAATTCAACAAGCTCCTGAGACCCTTTGATTCTTGGTAGGTCAGTGAGATCAAATCTATTTTTAAATAACATGAAGACATTGATCTTTGTCTATACAGTTTCTAGAGGTGACATTATATGAAATCATAATAGAATGAATGCAAAAGTAAATGAAAACCCAGCCACCTTCTATTAAGCCAGAGATTAAGATTGACAAAAGTGAAAAGCAGTGGTATATGTCATTCAATTTCTTTTCTTTTATAAAATTTAGCTGTTTATATATCTTTATTATATATGTACATACATAATACAAACATTTATATTTAGTACTTAGACTACAAGTTATTAAAATATTGTTATTTATGTTCACATGCAATGGTTTTATTGTTTTATTTTAAATGAATCATTAATTAAAGTTTTATAAAAAAAAAAATGGTAAAATCCCAAGCATGAAGGCAGGCACCTATAATATCAACATCCAGGATGCAGAGGCAGTAGATTTTTTAGTTTGATGCCATTCTTGACTATAAATTGAAACCTTCTCTCAAAAGGCCCCAAACAAATAAATAATCAAACCCAGCAGCATAAACGAACAGAACACAGCATGTGCCAGCCGTCCTGTTATGAATAGCTAAAGATGAAAGATACCAAATTCACCCCTTTGCCAGCTAGTTCTGTAGCAAAGAGAAAGCACCAGAATAAGCATGTTTTTCTCTTTCGTAGATCAAATTAGTTACTTTTCAGTATTTTCAGTCTTAAAGTGGTAA